GGGCTCTTCACTTCTCAACATTTCACACAAATTTGTCTTTGGGCTGAAATTTCTCCTGTGGGGTATCTCAGTCAGAGCTGTACCGCACACCCTTTAGTGTATGTGTGGGGGTGTAAAACTGCGGCGTAGGCAGAGAAGTCTCCCATAAAGTGTCATATTGTTCTGGTGACTGGTGACACAGGATCATGTGCAGAACATGGAAGCTCTGGCTTTTCCTAAATGCTGTAGAGTGAGAGTTCCTGGGAAAGGGCAGGGGGAGAGGGAGAGGGAGCAAGTGGAGAAAGGCAGAGACATTGGAGAAGAGAAATGGGGGAAAAGAAAGAGTCAGAGAACACAGAGAGAATAAATGATTGAAGCAGAAGAGGTGTCCCAACTCAATCTTGCTCATCACAGGCATTCAGAGAGACAGGTAGTTGTAGGTTTTCCACAGTGTCAAGTCTGAACTTTTATTCTAGCAATGTGAGTTCAAATATCAAGGGGATCTCCACATACCTGAGCTCTTCACCCCTCCCCCTCTTTAGTATTTATTTTTATTTTGAAATGTTTGGCTTAACCGTGATCTTCTCTTTCCCTAACTGTATTGCAATTTTGGGTTTATTTTTATTTTCTCTCCCTTTTGTTCACATCATTATAATTGGAACAGCAAAGAAATCTGCAGGAGCAAAAACTGACTCAAAACTTTATTTCCTCATCATGCAGGAACATCACACAAACATCTCATGCAGCTGGAATCATAACAGTAAAGGCAAGGGGGTGGGAGAAGCTGTTTTCCAAGCGTTCTGTCTTTCTCAGATGACACAAGGATGTGTTCTGAAGCTCCCTATATATTCCAGCCCCTTGAATACCTCCATCCTCTATGAGCTGCTGGGCTTTGAGAAATTTATTGTCTGATTCTATTGATAATGTGATTATAACACAATGTGACTAAAATTAAACCACTTCCAGACAAGGAAACCCATTATTGTCTTGGCTGGGAATCAAACCCAGGACAACTGCTTGGAAGGCAGCTATGCTCACCACTATACCACCAATGCATCTGGTATAAACAGCTTTCCTGCATGCTATATGTGCTAACAAATGTGACACATTATCATGGAACTAGTAAGCAGGGTGGATGGACTGGAAGCTGCCCAACAGCTGCGAGCAGAGTTAGGATCCCAGATTGACTAAAAGGGGGAAAAGGTGAAAACAGATCTCCTTGGGAGATGACCCCATACCCAACCCGCCCCTAGGAGAGGGGAACTGAAGGTAAAATTCAATCATAGAAAAATCTTCCCTGAGAAGGAAAGGGACCGCTTGTTTTAAAGACAAAGTTTGTATTTGTTCCTGCTGGATAATGCTGATTCTAGCCCCCAGACTCCAGGACGATAAGGAATAAATTCAGGCTGCCAATGACCTGCAGGAGGGAGATGATTTTTTGTCAGTGACGGATGCCTCATCTTAAAGGTGTTTGTCTGCCCCCTTCTAGTGACTGTTCGGTACAGGAATGTAGCCCTCACTCCTGGGTCTCTCCTAGGGTCTCTCCTGTGGAAATGTTTCTGTGCAAAACACCAAAGCTTGTAACAGAAAGGAGGAAAAGGAAATGGCCATAGGATGGGACCAGGACATAAGGAATGGAACACAAGATGCTTCTTCCACGTGCATTGACTTTGAATCTTCTTGTTTCCAGTGTTGGTGTATCCATGGTGGTCCCAGGACATGAGAGACAAGGAGTGGGGGGTCACGTAATATCTTTTAAAGGACCAAGGTTGGGAGTGTTACTTACTCCTCATAACACAAGAACTAGGGATCACCAAATGAAATAGGCTGCAGATTTGAAAAGAAGAAAATGAAGTATTTCTTCACACAACACACAGTCAACCTGTGGAACTCTTTGCCAGAGGACGTTGTAAAGGCCAAGACTAGAACAGGGTTCAAAACTGGACTAAATAAGTTCATGGAGGATAGGCCCATCAATGGCTATTATCCAGCATGGGTAGGGATGGTGTCCCTATCCTCTCTTTGCCAGAAGCTGGGAATGGGCAACAGGGGATGGATCACTTGATGATTACCTGTTCTGTTCATTCCCTTTGGACCTGGCCTTGGCCACTGTCAGAAGACAGGAGAGTGGGCTAGATGAACCCTTGCTTTGACCTAGTATGGCTGTTCTTATGTTCTAACTTCTGTTTGTGGATGAGACAAACTTTGGGGCTACACGGAGCTGAAGAAGAGTTCTTGGTTAGCTCCAAAGCTTGCCTTCACCAACAGAAGCCTCTACAAGCTCTGACCCTCACCCACCTTGTCTCTCTTGGACCCTGAAAAATGTTTTCCCACAACCCCCTTTGGGTAGAAGTTAAGTTTTCTGTATGGAAAACCATAATACAGAAGCACTTATATTGATTGTGATACTAGGATGGAAGGATTATTTAATATTATAAATAAAGGAATCTAAACCTGAGCTTCCTGTATTGAAACTGGTTTTCCCAACTCTCTTCCAGAAATGCCTCCAAGATGCATGCCCATGCCAGCAGAAGTGGCAAGGAGAAAGCCCCCTAGTACTGCAGTTAGTGCCAGGTGGATTGTTAAGTGGCAGAGGGAGTTGATTTGTTTGGTGCTGAGAAAGCTGCCAGGACAGGTCTCTGGGCACCAGATCTCTCTGCGTCTTCCAGCACACCCCTGGCTCCTTCCCTGCCCCAGTCACTGCTGTAGGAGGATCCTACATGCACTTAGCCAAAAGCCTTTTACAGCCTTCTTAGTGCAGTTGGCAGGATGTCAGTCTCGTAATCTGAAGCCTCAGAGAGGTTTTCCTCCCTGCTTCAACGTTTCTAAAGGAAATCCCAGAGAAAAGAAACTGTAGCAAACTGGTTTCTGGACACCCTCCCACCCATCTAACACACACAGACTTAGAATTCTAAGACATTAACTCTTCCTTCTCCTTTATGATTCTTTAATGCAGCTGGGAATACCAGTTCCTAGAAATCCCTTTCCACAGAGAACACAGCCACAGTGCTGTGAGAAAGCTCGGGGCTGTCATGTTGTCCTGGGTGAGTATTTAAAGGATTGCACTAAAAGTCTAGCACAGTCATTCCCCTCCTCTCCACCTCCAAGCAGCTTTGAATCTTGATGACTGTGATCCTAAGATTCCACTGCCTCAGCATCCTCAACCCCCACTGGAGACCGGTGTAGAGTCCTTAGATCCCTGTTCATATTTCAGACCCCAGCTGCTTCAGCATCCCTGCCCAGCAATTCACCATCTGCCCCAGCTGGTGGGATGCATCCACAGGCAGCTAGCTTATACCGCTCCCCTCAGAGCAGCTGTTGGCAGCTAATCCCCACCTAAGGCTTGGGGGAAGGAGCTGGGGGTCACTTATTTCTTCCATACATCACGTGTCACTGAGTTTGAACACATTTCTCTCTAAAATTGATTTAAATTTAGAGCCCCTCCCACCATTTCTAATTTGTAAGTGCCTCATTCCTATACATGAAACATAAGAACAGCCATACTGAGTCATACCAATGGTCTATCCAGCCCACTGTCCTGTCTTCCAAGAGTGGTCAAAGCCAGGTGCTTCAGAGGGAATGAACAGAACAGGTAATCATCAAGTGATCCATCCCATTGCCCATTCCAAGCGTCTTTACATATGTGAACACAAAGAAACATTTGGGGACCACTTGCAGCTACTTAGAATCATAGAAGATTAGGGTTGGAAGAGACCTCATGAGGTCATCTAGTCTAACCCCCTGCTCAAAGCAGGACTAACCCCAACTAAATCGTCCCAGCCAGGGCTCTGTCAAGCTGGGCCTTAAAAACCTCTAAGGATGGAGATTCTATTACCTCCTAGGGAACCCATTCCAGTGCTTCACCACCCTCCTAGGGAACCAGTTTTTCCTAATATCCAACCTAGACCTCCCCCACTGCAACGTGAGACCATTGCTCCTTGTTCTGTCATCTGCCACCACTGAGAACAGTCTAGCTCCATCCTCTTTGGAAGCCCCCTTCAGGTATTTGAAGGCAGCTATCAAATCCCCTCTCATTCTTCTTTTCCGCAGACTAAATAACCCCAGTTCCCTCAGCCTCTCCTCATAAATCATATGCCCCAGCCCCCTAATAATTTTCATTGCCCTCCGCTGAACTCTCTCCAATTTGTCCACATCTTTTCTGTAGTGGGTGGTCCAAAACTGGACACAGTACTCCAGATGTGGCCTCACCACTGCCAAATAGAGGGGAATAATCATTTCCCTTGATCTGCTGGCAACACTCCTACTAATGCAGCCCAATATGCGATTAATCTTCCTGGCAACAAAGGCACACTGTTGACTCATATCCAGCTTCTCATCCACTGTAATCCCCAGGTCATTTTCTGCAGAACTGCTGCCTAGCCACTCAGTTCCCAGCCTGTAGCAATGCATGGGATTCTTCCATCCTAAGTGCAGGACTCCGCACTTGTCCTTGTTGAACCTAATCAGATTTCTTTTGGCCCAATCCTCCAATTTGTCTAGGTCACTCTGGATCCAATCCCTATGCTCCAGCACTTGGATTCTTTACATGCTTTCACAGAGGGAAGAGCACATGTTCCACGATTTCATAGGAGAGTTTTACAGCTATTTTGAGTCAGGGAACTATGCTATCGGGTGCTTTCCCTGTGTGGATTTGACAGGTGGATCAACATAGATGCACATTGTGACCCTTCTGAGGGTGCTGAGGGCTGTGAGTCTTCTTGTTGCCACCTGCCAGGAAGAGGGACTTTTGCAATTGGCAGCTGGATGCTAGCGACCAAACTCACCAGCCTGTCAGGCACTCAAGCACCCTTCTCTGAGCTAAAGCAGCCCTGCCAGTTGCCAATAGAGACACCCTAACCCCTGAGTTCCTCCTATGTGTCCCCTTCTGGGGTCTAGCCCCGATCACCAAATACTCAGAGAAATCCCAGATCCTCTCTGCCCAAAGCAATGGTACATCCCAGGTTACCAGTTTTACTATAGACCACTGCTACTGTATCACACACAGCACTTGAGTACAGCTATTGAACAAATGGAAATTTATTTAACAAGGGATAGAGATTTAAACAGAAACAAATGTGAGTGATGGAAACCAACCATTACCAACAGAACAAAATCACAAAATGCAACCTACATTTTTAATAGTTACCTTTCCCTATCTAAATAGATTCTCACCTCACATTTCAGTCTATTGCAGTGATTGCTAGTCCTAAGAGCCATGGCCCTGCCTTTCATGAAGTACCACTGGTCATTAGAGATCTCTTTGGTAAATGGACCCAGAGTGTTTTTCTCCACCCTGTTTTAAACTGAATCAGTCTTTTGTCTTTATTCACAGAAAGGACCATCTCCTCATTGTCATATCATCCTTTTCACATCACACAGTTTCTATCTATAGTTTGTCTTTGATAGTTTTCTGTTGGCTTTTCTGGTTTGGTGCAAAGGTTGACAATGGAGCAATACATCACATAACTAGCTAGCAAGGGAGGAATGGCAATTCCCTCCCACTGGAATGGGCCATCCCCACCAAGACCCATGATTGGAGCGACTCACTTTCATGACAATACCATATGGGCATAATTTTCCATGTACTTACATTACTCCTTCAGTATGACTCATACAGACCTCTCTCAGTGATTAGGAGTATCAATAATTTACAAGTTTTCATTAGAGATCTCACTACTATGCTTCCTGGATAAATATAATAAAATCTGTGTATTAGGTGTGGCGAGTTTGTCAGGTCTGATAAAGAAGTTGCTTGTGAACAACAGTGACCCCTTTGCCAATTGGCACCAATGAGTTTTTGTCACACATGCACTGAGCTATACAGTCACACCCTGATATAATAGAAAGGCCAGCACAAAAATAGAGAAAGGAACAATAAGATACTAAAATGGCAATGGTTCAAACTCTGCATTTCTCTCAGTCTTTGATTTGATGGGTACTAAGAGCTGTAGCTACAGTTGAGGAACCAGGCGATCGGACAGCTGGCTCAGCCCTCTGTACTAGTAGCTTTCTCACATGCAGGGAGATGAGTCAAAATTGGAATTGATGTCATGACTTGCTTCCCATAAGGGATCAATCTGCCTAAGGCTAGGGTCAACACTTCAAACACTGGAAGTATTCTTCTGACAACCTAACGCTGTCTACACTGGGGCTCAGGTCACGTTAACTACTTCTCTCAGTGGAATGGATTTTTCACACCCCTGAGAGATGTGGCTATGTCAACATAGCTTTTCAGCGTAGACCAGCCTTTAGATGGCTTTTTGATGTGAAAAGCAATGGACTTCAGCCTTTTCCTTGATATTGATGGTTGACGACTGCAGCTTTCATACTTTCTGGACACATGCTATGACAGATGTCATGCCTTTCCTTTGCAAATTAGAGAAGTGGGGAAGTCAGTGACTCTTACAGTCTAAGTGGGTAAAAACTTATACAACTTGTCTCCTTGAGTAGTTTTCACTGGGCCAATATTCTCTTATACACTTTCTCACACATATTCTCCCACCCCAACCTTTGGAGTGAGGTTTTCTACCAGAACACCAGAACTACAGGGGGTAAATTAAATCAAATTATCTTTTCAAGATTAGCCATCATGTCCTCTATGACTAACAAAACAAAAAACAAGATAATCTGAATTATTCTGGAAAACTGAAAGTTATTACACAATGAGTGTCTTATTCTTTAACCAATAACTTTCACCTATAATTTCATTTTCACCAGTAACACTAACATATTCAAAGATCTCAAATTCTTGTCATATATATTAGTTTTCTTTTAATCCCCTTTGCCAACAACTGAACCTTGGCTCAAGTTGTGGTTTGTCCCAACGTAGGTCCCAACCACTTCTGTGGGTTCATATATTTTTAGTTCTTCTGCCATGTGCGTTGGTGGAAGGGGTCTCCTATGTGGGAATGTTTGCATCATGAGGAAAAATACCTCTCTTTTCACACTTTTTAATCTTTCAAAGTAGGAGGAGGTAGAGGAGAAGTGATGTAAATGCATAAAACACAAGAGAAAACTAAAGACATTGATCAGTATAACTATATTGCTCGGGGGTGTGAAAAATCCACACAGTTTAGCAAAATAGTTACACAGCCCTAACTCCCTGTGTAGATAGTGTTACATCAGCAGGAGAGCGTCTCCTGCCAACATAGCCACCACCGCTTGTGGGGGCTGGACTAATAAAGTCCGATGGAAGAGATCTCTCCCATTGGCTGAGAGCACCTGTAATAGCAGTGCTACAGCAGCACAGCTACATTGGTGCAGCTGCGCCAACGTCAGCTTTATTGTGTAGCCAGAGCGTCAGACACAAAAACATAGAATCAGAACTCAACATGCATATATCCGGAAGTCTGAAATTGAAGCCTGACACATCCATTGCCTCATTGGTTACCATCATTTCTACAGGCTAAAAGTCCTTATTACCCAATCAGGCAGCAAGGTTGGGATCCACGGGGAAGGAATGTCCTATGAAGCACTCTCTCTTTTCATCCAAACGGTGAAGGATGATTGTTCTCAGTCTAACCCTGGCAAATTTTGGAACTGTTATCAGTGACACTAGTAAGTGGAGTTGTACAAACAATTTTCCTTGGGTCATTGGTCACCATAGCTTCCTTTACTGAGGTGGAAACCAAGAACTGGGTGTGGACTCTTTCAACCCCAGTTCTTTCCAAATCCTTGGTCTTGGTTAGGGTAAATTTACACTTCTCTGAAGTAGAATCCTTTACAAAACCACTCCAAATCTCAGCAGTGTTGGTAAGGAATGGCTTCCAAAAACATGCCGAGTTTTAATTTAATTTGGTGGCACAGTTCCAGGCAAGGGCCTGGATACAGGTATGGATCAGAGTCTCTGTTAGTTAACAGAGCTGGAGTTTCTATTCAAAAATAGCTATTTTTTGCAGCTATTTTAGATTTCCAACACTAATTTCATTTTATACACATTTTTAGCACCTACAAAGGATAACTTCAACAAAAACCCCACTTCTATTTCCTCAATAGCTGCGTCATGAAGGGCAGCATCTCCCATAGCATAGGATTAGCTAGGAGAGATCTTCTGTGGGGCCTGGGTTACAAATGCATTGGGAATGAAATACATGGGCATTTTGCCTAGTTCAGATCCACTTACCGTGGAATTCTCTCCCTAGATCATCTGAGACAATATCGACTTCAACACTGTGATCATATGCACTTCCTTTAGTTAGTTGGGTTCTGTTGTTGTTCACCATTTCCAAGTGGAGATTTTAAATCACTGCTGTTTCTTTGTTAGCATGTCCAATAAATTGGAGATTTCTCTCCTGTTTACAGAAGTGCACTTGAACTTTCTCCATGTCATCGTGGAGGGATGGGGATAAAGAAAAGCTGAAGTGAGAAATGATGACTTTAGCAAATAGTCATTTCTCTTAAATTCTCCAATAAATCCGAGCTATATCCTGTCAAACTGAACTAATATCCAATTGGGTGACCAACAGCCTTCAGAAAAGATAGAAACCCACATCACAGAGAGACAGAATACATGACAATGAAAGTGTCAAGTGAAATTCAAGAGCAGGTTACATCTGATTATTCAGAATCAGAACAAGAGATTCTCCCATCACATTTTCCTCTGATCCATTCAAACATACTTCACTCAGCACTGACTATTGAGACAGTGCTGAGTGATGTTATTTACAAAATGTTTAGAATCCTAGCATCTGCATGAGGGGGAAAACAGCCACCTTGCCAGAAGTGGCTTTACCAAAAATGGAACCTGGGATTTAAACACCAAATGATCACACTGTGTTTGGGATCCATTTGAATTCCCCTTCCAGGTCTTTGACACTTTCATCTCCAGTCATAGCGACTCTGATATAGGATTAAAAAAGTCAAAGCATCATCTTCAAGCACAGACAATGGAGAATGCTTCATCACATGACACTTTCTGAAGTGGATGGATGGAATGTGATGAAGATACATTTTGTCTGAACCAGGCAGAGTTTAACAGAGATTCCCTCTTTCCACATCACTCCAGAACTGAGTCACCCCATCTCCTTCCAGTGTCACAGATGCTGAAATGACACTTTTTTTTCTGCCTCTGCTCCTCTTCATTTACATATAATTTGAAAAGTTCCCAATATAACTGCTCTTCAGCACAACCCAGAGCAACATGAAAACAATTGGCAATGATACAATCTGTATCATTGGTAACTAACAATAACTTTGCAATAGGAGGAATGGTATAAATGTGATGCTCCCTGCTTCCTGATAGGAAGGGCACACAAATTACTCATGGGACAAGAGAAAAGACAAATAGGTCCAACTCAAAAAAGGGTGAACTGCAAAAGGCAAAAATGGGCCACTCATCTTGGCAAGCTGAGGAATAAGTGTGCTGCAAACAGTTCAAACAGCTTTAAAAGTTACTATGTGGGAATCAGGAAAATTATTAAAGAAAAAAGTATCGATAGCCCTAGAGGTTTTTATGGTGTTGATCTCCCTTGCAGATTCTCTGATGCCTAACATGAGCTGAGTGCCAAGAGAAGGTATTCCCACACTCACTGCATTCGTAGGGCCTCTCTCCTGTGTGGATTCTCTGATGTTCAGAAAGTGTTGATCTTTGAGTGAAGCTTTTCCCACACTCACTGCATTCGTAGGGCTTCTCCCCTGTGTGGATCCTCTGATGGTGAAAAAGGCCTGATCTGTGAGTAAAGGTTTTCCCACACTCACTGCATTTGTAGGGTCTCTTCCCTGTGTGGATTCTCTGATGTTCAAAAAGGCCTGATCTTTGAGTGAAGCTTTTCCCACACTCACTACATTCGTAGGGCCTCTCCCCTGTGTGGATTCTCTGATGTTCAAAAAGGCCTGATCTTTGAGTGAAGCTTTTCCCACACTCACTGCATTTGTAGGGCCTCTCCCCTGTGTGGATTCTCTGATGTTGAAAAAGGGATGATGTTTGAGTGAAGCTTTTCCCACACTCACTGCATTTGTAGGGCCTCTCCTCTGTGTGGATTCTCTGATGTTCAGAAAGGGCTGATCTTTGAGTGAAGCTTTTTCCACACTCACTGCATTCGTAGGGCCTCTCCCCTGTGTGGATTCTCTGATGGTGAAAAAGGCCTGATCTGTGAGTGAAGGTTTTCCCACACTCACTGCATTCGTAGGGCCTCTCCTCTGTGTGGATTCTCTGATGTTCAGAAAGGGCTGATCTTTGAGTGAAGCTTTTCCCACACTCACTGCATTCGTAGGGCCTCTCACCTGTGTGGATTCTCTGATGTGTAAAAAGGGCTGATCTTTGAGTGAAGCTTTTCCCACACTCAGTGCATTCATAGGGCCTCTCCCCTCTGTGGATTCTCTGATGTTCAGAAAGGGCTGATCTTTGAGTGAAGCTTTTCCCACACTCACTGCATTCAAAGGGCCTCTCTCCTGTGTGGATTCTCTGATGTTGAAAAAGGCCTGATCTTTGAGTGAACCTTTTCCCACACTCACTGCATTCATACGGCCTCTCACCTGTGTGGATTCTCTGATGATCAGAAAGGCCTGATCTGAAAGTGAAGTTTTTCCCACACTCAGTGCATGTATTTTTCCTCTTTCCCCTGAGGATTTCCTGCTGTGTTGTGTTTTCCTTTAGGTCCTTGTGAGTTCCCCGACAGGAAATAAATTTACCCACTTTCTCCCCCGGCTGGTTTCCCTGCTTTCTTTCTGGTCTGTGCTGAATCTCACAGGATTTTCCCTGCTCATGACTCCTGGACACATTCCTTTTCAATCTTTCTGATAAATCTCTGTGTTTATCCATTTGCTCAACATTTTCTTGATGAGAATTCTGCTTCTCTTTCTCACATACCATTGCATCACCTGCTGTGATAGAGACAGAAACCTCAAACAGGGATAGAAAGGGGAAGACCAAACCAAAACAAGTGCTGGAGAGAGGTCAAATACAAATCAGGAACTGAACTCCCCCAAACTCTTCCCTCCAAAAGGAGAGACGAGAGGATCAATTCAGCCTTCACATCGCATCCAAATTCGCAGGGGGGAGGGAGGAGGCTACTACCTGCTGTCTGCTAAGAACTACAGGAAGCCATGAGATATTTACCCTGAGGATATAACCCCTGCTAGGGACAATAATGAATTGAGAGACCTCCCAAGGGCTTTGTAGGGCATAGCAGATGTTTCCTTCTGGCACTTACAGATTCTGAGTTGGTTTAATGTTTCCTCACCTGTGCAGGCAGCTCTCGGAAGCACTTCTTTCTCAGAACCCTGGAGGTCTGGGACCCATGGCTCTTCCCCTTGTTCCAGCTGGGAGATCACTTGAGGTTGGGAAACTTGAAACCCTGCTCAGAGGAAAGAAAACAGAGGAGTTCAGTTGATTTCATAAGACTTGGTCATAAATTTTTTTTATTAATTTAACTTCAGTGCTTAGTGTGACCTGGTGTCCTGGGGCAGTCCTCACTGAAATTGCCAAGGTCAGGGCAGGCTAGACAAGGGAGAGCAGACAACCACCAGTTTTGGGAGTAACACTGAAGCTAAACTCACCGACCAGTCACAAACTGTGCTTCTGATCTCCCACACTGGTTATCGAGAAGCTGAAAAAAGAAATCACACAGCCCCCTTTATTGCACTCCAGTTCTCTGACTCCCAATAAGCACCTAGGTTCAGTACAGTGAGAGGTTATTTAAAAACTCTGCTCACAAACAAAATGTTCTTCTGACCTCAAAGGGTCAACCACAGTACCAGGTCACCATAGATTTGGATCTTTCCCAAAATGCCATGCTGCCAGCCAATCCTTTAGCATCTAAACTAAACATTTAAGCAAAAGAAAGACAGAAAGAAGTTAAATGGGAAAGCAGTCAGATACATTCTGAAATCTATATATCAGGTTTTTAGCAGTATTGGTGAATGGCTGGCTTGAAAGTCCATCTGGAACACATCCAAAGCTTGGATGCGTCATTCAATCCTTTGTTCAAGGCTTCAGTTTGTAGAGAAGTTGCTCCAGAGGTTGGAAGAGGAAGTGAAGACAAAATGGAGATGATGCAGCTGTCCTTTATATTCCTTTTGCCATGTGGTTTGTACTTCCTGTGTCCCAAACACAAGCTTCAAAGCACATGGCATGGAAAAGCCTTGGAGTTCTCAGTACACAGGCATAGCCCTGCATGACTTGCTGACTCAATAGGTGTATCCCCTTGGTCCTTTCCATGGGTTCATTGTACAGCTGATGACTCTGGATGAGCCATTGAACAGGCTAGGCAGTGCTGATGCTAATATGTCTGGGGTTGTCACCCAGAAACACTGCACAAGTCTGGAAATACTGATATACCCTACGTATCTATAACTTACAATACAAAGGTGATACAAACATAGAAACAAAATTATCATACTTGGAAAATCATAACATTTTCACTGACATCTTACATGGCATATCTAGCATGATTCATTGCAATTGTATCATATTGGTATTAATAATAAAATAATAATGTAAAGTGTCTCACAATTCCAAACAGTGTCACACTTAGTAAACCAGTGAATTCCCAGGACCAGCTCCCCAGGTCCTTGAAGATGCTGAACACTCTGCTTATGAGGGATTGAAATATGCACATATCTTCTGGGAACACACAGACAGACACTGTGTCAGTCTGTACCCCTATGTTCATTCTTCTAAAAAATTATGATCAATTTTGTACACGGTATGGCTTGTGAGGTATCATTTGAAAACACATATTCTACTGAATATTATCCCCCTGTTAAAATATGTGTAGCAACACTGTATGTACAATTATGAGATTTTACTGTATAGTATTACTGAAAAAGTTACAATTCTGGGGAACACTCACAGACCAGTTCCTCAGAGACAGCAAGGCAAACAGCTGGTCAAATAGCCATTCTCCAGCAGGGGGAATGTGTGAAGAAGACATTTATATTCCATCACACTTGGACCACTTGTAGCTCATATCTACAACAGACAGCCTATCACCATGACTCAGCTGAGAAATGAAGTTGTTTCTAGTACAAAGGACTGAAATATAAAAAGAGGTGAGGAAAATGCTTAAGACTCTCTCTCTCTCTCTCTCTCTCTCTCTCTC